GAGGAGCTTCAACAGTACCTGGGACTTGCGACCCAGGTGCAGGTTTAAGGGGCTCCTATCTAACTCACATAAAACGCTCAACTCCACCATCCTAGCTCTTCTCTCTGCGTAACTAATTTTGTAACAAACCTATTATAATATAATAATTGTATACTGTATACATTAGCCGGTGTGTAAAACTTGAGCTTTAAGATTGCTATTAAGCATGATTATAATTTTATGACGGGGAGTGTAGAATCGAAATTAGACAATACAATTATAGCATGTACCTAGCAAACTAGGTAACGTTGTGATAGCCGGATATTTAAATGCCTGTGGCATTATTTAGGTATAAATGAACCCCGTTTGGGTGGCAATATAACACTTCTGAATTGTAATTGTTAATTTCAGTTTTAAATGTGTGTCTGGATTAAATTGATAATATTATATTTCAATTATCTCTGTTAAGCAGACAGATTAGATTATTATATTATAGAAAAGCGAAAGCAAATTCTTCAATTATAAAATTATACATGACATCTTTATGGAAACCAGTCAACTAATTTGGGAACTACAATGGGAACTGGCTTTAACAATTACCAAAAGCCAGTTCCCAAATTTCCAAGTGATGTTAAAGATAGCACGAACACGCTAATCACTCGTTCTCGTGTAAATCTTAACAGTAAAATTAATTCTTACGATTCAAACCATACTTAAGATAGTATGATAACAAAATATCTCTGTATATTTTAACAAATACCATAAATATTTTTATAACATTATTGATGTCTTCCTGATTAATATTTGATTGGTGATTTTGTGACTTGATTGTCTATTAAAAGCGCAATCAAGGACGGGAAATTACAGATCATTCCAGATGTCTTGTGTAAAGACAATTTCCATTCGATGAGGGCTATTGGTTGAGCTTGCTCCTTATGTCTGTGAGATAAAATGTGGGCGATAAGCCACTTGTTGATCCCATAATCAGTTCTAAGCAATTATCATGATTTAGTGATTAGAGATGACTGTGGTGTTCCGGATTAATACAAAATTGCATTTGAGATCGTACCTTAGCTGTAAAATATTATAGGTAACTCACACTTAGAGTTAACATCGTGTATAATATACTTTTAGTGCCTCCACTAATAACTGTTTGATATATGTAAATCTCCATTTGCATCAACGAGCGTGTCTAGAATCTTCTAGTCGGTTAATAGATTAATAGACAATTTATTTCATCAGACACAATATAGTCGTTTCATTACGCCTAAAGAAATATGAAGTTTATAAAACATAAATATAAAGTTAACTGTTTTGATACGTTATACCATAATTATTAAAGATGTTTTGTTCCAATTTTAACGAAAATGCCTTAACGAAAGTAATAATAGGGACATAATAATGTCACTTACCTTTAATATTTACTCCATATGCTATTATTTATTTTCAGGTAACGGCTTTATTCGCACTGGATTCGGTTAATATTTTGCCAATGTCATTTGATATGCTTAATTTATACACGTCCCGTAGACTTTCCTCACTCTACTCAGCTCTATATTCCACATAATATAATGGTATCATATTTCTGGTTATTCAGTTATATTTAAATTGTATATTGTAATGTAATCCAGAAATATATTTTACAAATATATTCTTTTGTTACTTCGCTTCAAATACTGCCTCATTAGGGTCTAAGCATTTCAAGAGATCTAACTTTTGAGAACCCTTGACATACATTTGAAAAATTTCGCTGAATGGCTTCATTCAGAATTATTTATTTTAAAAATCAGAGTTGCAAATTTATCTGAAATTTTGACATTCTTTATATTTTACATTGTATTATATTCAAAATATCAAAATAAAAGGATAATACATATGAAAAGAACAAATATTGTTACATGTTTTAGCGAGTGGTACGTTATTTTTATAATCAACAAATATGTAGGTTTGATTTCTGACTCGGAATGTTGATTTTTTAAATGCCTAACGATGTCGTTTAAAACTTCCATTAAGCTAGGGTCTTTAAATTATTCAAATGAGATTTTGAATCCGTATTTAAAAACTTTCATCATATAAATTTATCTATTGACAGTCGTTATATACCTCTCACTCAGTTAATACGTTCTATAATTATTTTAAAAAATACCTAGGTACGCGGTAAAATTTTATATCGATAAAAATATAGAAAAACTATCGAAAATTTATGTCCATAGAAAAAACAAAACAAGAACATTTTTATCATAATATAAGGGTTTGTTAATAAAAAGTAGGGAGTCGCCCGGATGTAAGTTACAAGCAACGTCACGTTCGGAAGCAGATATTCTAAAAAGCATGTTCCGTTTGATGGACTCTTGAATATTTTACATAAAAATAGCAATTTTTACATTATTTTTCTAAATTTCTATTCAGTAGCTAAGGATTTTAATAACAGTATTATTTTATTTATATTGTTTACTTATACGTACATATCTTAATATCTTTTATGCATAATATTGAACGATTGATTTTTTTAAGGATATATAATTAAAAATGTAAAGTAATGCACATTTATAAAGAAATATCGTTGTGTATAACAATAACCAATTTTAGCTATGAAATAATCATTCCGAATAGAATTAGTTTTTGGGATTATGTATGAAAGTATTTACATTGTCCAATGGGTCGTATAATTGAACTAGCCAGGTGGTCTCTTATTTGTTATTTGAACAAGGATCAACTAACATGAATTATCGAGTAGGATTATAGAATCGTACAGAAAAATAGTTTAAAATTCTCATTGTAGTTCAACAATTCGTAAACAGTAAGTGTATTATGAAATTATTTTAAAATACATTTTAGTTTTCGTATTGTATCGCTCGCAGAATTCTTTGATGCATACCAAATTTCACGTAGTGAAAACACTGATTCATATCCGTTTAAAGAGTTCAGAATGATACGTTGAATTTACCATACAAATCATTTCCTTGTAAATCTAATGGATCGGGGTGAAGCAGACATTAGAGGGATTTTGTTTTATTAAACTTATAATAATAAACAGTCATTGTTGGTAAGTTTGTAAGAAGTAGGTACCTTTTATGTATTTTGAACAAAATTATATTTAAGTATTTTTTGAATCTATGTCCTTTGTTTTTAAGTTTAATTTAGATACAATACTCTTTTTGCTGTCTCATGTCTGCGCACTGTTATGTAATTCTGTGATATTCTCGGTACGTCGGAGAGAGGAAATTAAGAGATACTATCTCGCTTGTAATTCGTATGCAGCTTTGAAGAATGCAAGTAATTTAGCTCACGCTTCTGACAGATATCATGTTGGTATAGAATTGTATATTTTAGTTCTTATTTATAATTTATTGTATGCTTTTAATAATAATAAAATGATTTATTATTATCTAATTTTCCCAATGATTGCAGAAAGTAATTTTGTGTTTTTTTGCTGACGATTTTTAATGACTAAAGTGTCTAGTAAAAATTCTGCTAACAGAAGATGTCTGGCAGTATCCATTATAAATAATATAAAATATTTTCTACAAAATAATATGTAAAAATTACACACTTTGACGTCAATTTTTACTTACGTGCAGCACCTGGCACCTGAGATTGGCCGTCAGTATCAGCAAGCGGACATGTTTATGTTTACTGTAGACACTAATACTAGCTTTTTACACATATATGTTCTGTCCATCAGAAAATAAGTAAGGTCTGGGTATACTGAGATCTCCGTATGTTATGTTATGATACTTATGTTGATTAACTTGACATTTGATGACTAAAATGTATTTTTTGGTAAATATTTAGGAAAGTAAAGTAAAAGTAAGATATAACATAAAAATATATGAATTTGAAATATTTTGGTATGAAATAAAAGATTTTTAAATTTTTGCTGCAGTTGTGTATGTACATATAATTATAAACATTTCCGTGACTTCTACATATTTTTGTAGTTTGTGGTTTTGCTTAAAATTTCGACTAAAACTGTGAGAAGAAATATTGATCCATATAAACGATATATCCTTAAAATATAACAAGAATGTCTTGAAAAAAATTAAAACAGTTTTCTATTTAATATAAGATGTTAATCGAAAAACAAATCGGGTTTTCATTGTAATATAACAGCTTGTTAAAAGTATAATAAATTTTTCTTATAGATTTCTATTCAATCAATGATATAAAATAGAACTTGTATTCTTAAAGAGAACGCTTCATACAACAAATAAAAGTAATCAACAAATAATATTAAACCTAATTTCATTGACAACAAGGTTCACTTTCAAATGTTTATAGAAGAGCGAAATCCTTACGTTTTAACTTCTCCTGTGACATCCTTTAATTTTATGAACGAAATAGGAGCTCTTGTGTAATATCACAACTACTTCAAGTTTGCTAATTAGTGAATTTCTTCACAACTTTGTATCCTTTAACTATAATTTATAGAGTCAGGTAAAAATTTTGTAAATGGACGCTGAATCTTATATCTTCATATCTGAAGACTTCAGTTAAAGAAGATCTCTATGGAGAAATAAATTTTACGATGTGACAGTATTAGGTACATACATCATTTTCTGATGGCATTTAATTACTGTACGGTACGATATTTTATTGTTTTAAAATATTTACACATTAATTTGAAAACATTAAAATAAACAATATTTAAAATATGTCTCTTACCAATTTAGTCATCAGAGTTATTTCAAACAACCGATACTTTGAAATTTCCTCCAAACATTTTTTGTATAAGTAACTACGCAACATTATATACCTAGTTATTATTGTATTAAGGCAACGTTTTGTATTAATATAATAACAACAAAAAAACCTCATTAAATCTGAATATTATTTAACAAAAAAAAGTACCTTTTATTATAATAATATTTCTTAAATATAGGTTACTTATTTTAAGCCCTCTTAACAATTGTTTTATAAGAATATTTTTAATTTTAAGTCAACTAAATTTTCTTTACTGTAACTTTTCCTTATTGAGTGTATAGCTATGTTATATATAATCCAATTTTCATGAATTCCAGGTGTACTGGAGTGAACCACTGCAGCTTCGTGCTTGCCGAGGACTATCCTCCTTCCAGAAGTTGGTCTCCAGGTGTCGTGTTTGTTAAATACGCTTGTTTTGATGGTGAGATATGTTTAATTTACTTTAATTTAAAAATACAAACAATACTATTTTAATTCTGATCACATTTATTTTTGGTACTCTATTTGATTATTTAGTGAATATTAACCAATAGACTATAACCTTAATATTTGTAAGAAATAAATTTGTTTTGCGATCTAAGTATAAGGTTTGTTATGCTTAGCACATGCATCAACACACTAATGACTAAACACGTATCGTTTCTCTGCTCTTACTCAATAACTTAGGTTAATACTATCTGTGAAGATTTATGAATGAAAAACTGTATTGTAACGCTCTGAAATTACTTCAGGGTATGCGTATAGTGCTTGCTTACGCCAAAAGATTCGTCAGCTATAACTGTCGTAAGAAAAAACATCTGATTCCGTTAAATACTTTGTTCTCATTCCAATGAAGCTTCTATACTATTTTATTGAAATTATCCCTGTGGACTGTTTCATTTAGATGTTTTAAGTTTTATTAAGTGGATGAATTCCATATATTTCTTTTGTACACTAACGACTAAATAGATTTGAATTTTAGTCAAATAAATCTATCCAAAGTCGTGTTAGTTATGTCTTGTACATATCAAATATTAATATGAACGTCACTAAAAATACTTTTTTAACACACAACATAGTGAGCATATAAAAATTAAGTAAAGAGTATCAATTATAAGTATAAAGGAAAATGGAAACATAGAACCTTTACTGATGTCCATTTAAGTATATGACACATTTGGTTTGAAATCCACATCCAAATGGGTCAGGAGGCGTGAAATTAAAGCAGGCAGATGTGTGTCGTCACACTTATTGAAATGCATTAAATTCACGCATGTGCAATTGAACGAATCGATTTCGGTTTAGATTTAATAAGGTCCAAATTACTGGTTATTTAGATTGTATTACGTGATATCAGCGAGGGATACTGTTTTGGTCAAATAAATATGATACCTGAATGTTTATGTAGGATTTGTATCTCTCTAGGTCTTTCTCAAATTGTATTGACTCGACAGTCATATAGTATTTTTTTTTATGTTTGTAGATTGTATTAATCTACAATTAAGAATCTACATATAGTACTTCAACCTTAATATAAAAATATGTTAGCAAGGATATATAACAGTAGTACATACTTATCCAATATATAAAATTTCCATATCACAATGTTAGTTACCGTACTCCTCCGAAATGGCTTTACCGACTTTTACCAAATGTTATATATACGTATTCAGTAGGTTTGAGAATCGGTTATTATCTATTTTTCATATCCCTAAATGATAAGCGTTGTTAATTCTTAATTTTTTTTAATTATTGTACGAAATTTTTTGTTTTTATTTTTATTATATGTCATCAAAAAACACATAGAACACATTTATTACATGGCCAAACAACGATTCTTGTGTCAGCTAGTTATAAAATAAGATGTTGATATTTTCCCAGATTATTATTTTGACATGATGACATTTACTCTAGGGATTCTTCTGACAATCGTTCGTAGCACGTGCTTGTTGTGGGTTTATTGTGAGGGTGCGGCGACAGAGAGTTACGAAGATAAAATAGTAACATGGATATTACTAGTTCAATTATATTATTATTAATATTGAAGAAATATTGAGCTAGTATTGAAATTGGGATGTGTAAAAATAAAAAATGTATATCAGCTGTTGAAAACTTATACAATAAATTTATTTGTTAAGCAACTGAAACGTGACCTTACCTTGGGCGCATTTAAATTTTTGATAATATATTTTATAATTTAAATGATAAATTGGACATTATTATTTATTACTTTATATATTTTAAAACGTTGCCTTATAATTACGTAAATATTTATTTAAAACCTCTAGGGTTAAAAAAAAAAATCTAAGCGAATTCTTTTTCTGTAGCATAATTTAAAAAGCCCAATACAAAAGTATTTATTACCCGTTCTTTTTTACATTTTATTAATTTGTAAATACAAGTTTATTCAAAATTATAATTTTAATAGGCACAAAAGACTTAACTGAAAAAATATTTTATTAAGCTTTAAAAATTATTCGAAACATTACATAAAGGTTAAATTATGTAATGTTTCGAAAATATAATTTTATATCCCCATTCCGTTTTTGTTACATAAAATTTAGCTTTACCGATTTCGCATCTCCCCTGTTAACCGAATAACCATTATAACCAGAACTTTTCTGTTCCGTTAATTGTTCTCATGTGTTTGATATCAATAGACTTTGATACATTGGTTTTCGTTATCGATACAATAGCCCATTTACCCCAAAATCGAAAATTAAGCGTGTAAATGTTATCGCTTTTATTCTCGACGCTGTTTCAATTCAACGAAAACTAGTGTCGGTAATGTTTATTTTGTTATGCTTTTATTCCGTGGCTGAAATTTCTTACAATTACGTTAAATGTATTAGTTACGGAATTATTAGGTATTATGACAATTATTATTACATACATTTGCTATTCAAGGTACACATAAACTGAGTTGATAGATAAAGCAGTTCTAAAGCTTTTTGTTTTCAACTTAATTTATACTAAATATTAACAAGAAAAATATGTTTGAAGATGCTAAAAAAGATGTCTTGTTTTTAAGTTAAACAAATATTCTACATCGTAAATTTATAAGTGAATTATGAGGTTAATTTCTACAATTTTTAAGTATAATTTACTAAATGTACTCTGAATAAATACATGTATTATATTTGTATAAGGATTTGGTATAACATTTAACGACCTTCACATTAGAGATTCTCACGAATAATATCATAATCAGTTTTGGGGTTCTTTTGTCCTATTACAATATTCTTTCCATATATCACTAGCATTGTGTCGTTATGGGCAACGGGATTAATAATGCCACGGCCATAAGTAATGATTTTTGTTTCTCGATATTATCTAGTTTTATGCTTTATAGAGGATAATGATAAGGATTTTTACAATAATATATTTAACTATTATTGAGCCTTTTATATGTTAAGGTTATTCCAACACTACTAGACTAATCAGTAATCGCGACTCCGTTTGCGTCAATTTCGGAATTAGAAATGTATAGCTGAATGGGAGAACTCTGTTCCTTCTTAAAGACAGTAGAAAAGAAGATTTTGGATTTTATCAACTTATTTTTTTTTCAATTGGATGAAAAGTATCCTCTGTCCTTTTCCTTATTCTAAGCAATTTTCCCACCAATTTTCAGTCAAATCGTTATGAAAGTGTAACTAACAAGACTTTCTTATAATATAGATAATAAACATGTTGAATTCAGTCATGTTGAAAATTAGTTTGGCGTCAGTAAACGTTCATTAATTAATATACACACATTTATAATTTAAAAATCTAACATGTTAAAACGTTCGCTTTATAGTTTGATGTAAACTCTCACTTATGATAAAGGTCTTCGTTTACTCGTTGTTATAACTAAATATATAAAAGTAGTAACAATAGCATATTTTCAAGGTCATTAAAATATAAAAAATGTCATAAAGACTATTAAAATCTATTTCGGTCTTAGTCTATATCTATTTTTAGTATTCAGAATGATTTAAGATTACCCGGTTCGAAGATTTTATTTAAAATCGAGTTTAATAAATATTGAGAAAGGCTTTGTTTAAAGTTTTTAATGTTAATGTAGACTTAAATTACAAATAGCCCTCCCAACTTGCCAACAAGACTTGTAACGATAGAAGCTCAACATTTGGGGTTTGATAATTGGTCACATGCGAAATTGGAACTCATATGAGCCATTTTTATTTGATAGATATCTACCCTGTATATATATGATTATACCTATGTTTATCAAATATGAGGGGACAGGGTAGAATAAGTCAGACATTTAATATCAAATAAATCTTTTAAAATATAAATTACAATAGTTTATGATAGAAATAAATAAACTTTAACTGTGCTATAATTTTCACATGATTCATATATTTATATTTTATTTCATTTTCATTTATAAAGATTATTTAGAACAACTATGATGGAAGGTAACCTTTAAGGCTGGGTTCAGAATGTCTCAAGGATTCAGGTCAAGGTCGTTCCTCGACACCGTTGAACAAAGTAAGGGTAGAATTTAGCAGATAATCCAGCAATATCGAAAAACAAATTCAAGGCTTTCAGTAGTATTTTGAAGTCCGTTTACTGTTCTTAATTTCCTCATATATTAAAATTTATACATATATTTATAAACATTATATATGTGTGTTAATATGGTCCTGTATTTTTGTGCTATTATAGTAATGAGAATTTCTATATGACCTAATTCAAAGTTGATATCATGTACACACACGATTAAGCCCTCTTTTCATAATTACAGATTACACAAAAAGAACAATTTAAAAGTCACTTTAATTAATTCGAAATTGTTTTGTTTAACTCCATTATAGATAAATACGTATGTATATTTTATTTACTTCATAACTTCTCATTTCCATTAAAAAGAAATATGTAAATAATTAAACGAAATTATATTATTAAAACAAAGTAATAGTCGAAAGAAAACGGATCGAATTTTGATTCTATCTATGGATTTTCATTTAATATACTCCAATAATATTTGAATGTGAAGTCCTAAGTATACCTTACATCATAAAAGTCATAGTCGTTTTATTCTTATGCTTAACTTATATCATTTCTTTTATTATAATTTCTGATATATTTTATCCGTACACAAACAAAACTATGCCCCTCCATAAATTTTATTACAAGCTACGTCAGTCACAATTCGAGGAATAAATTCGGTTCTAGCCTTCCCAGGGTGTCAACAAACCTGTTAAGAAAATTGAACCCGTGTTGACTATTAATTAGAAGTGATAGTGATATAACAATACGAGCACATAACTTAAATTACAATGACGCTTTCGTGAACGATTTGATGTGAGAAAATGTTATTATTATAGTACGAGTTATATACTATTGAAGTTTGTATAGTCAAGCTTTTGTAGATTTGATATGTTACTGTTTAAATATTTCGATTTAATGGAGACAACGTTTTACATAATAGTAATTTATATTTACCTTCTTCACGTGAGAATAGGCCTTTGCTTAGCAGTGGGCTTTGATAGGCTGATGATGATGATGAATGTATGTTTTTAATTTTTGCAGATTTACTATCAATACACTATTGCAACAGAGAAGTGTTTTTATCAGAAACTGGTCCTGAAAGCGAAGGTTACATCAGGACACCGGGTTACCCTAATTTTTATGTTGGAGAAGAATGTCGGTGGAAACTTCGAGTGAATCTAGAACAGAAGATAAGGATTACATTGCTAGATGTTAGTTTGAGAAGTAAGTGTTATATAACTATATATGATTTACCCAAGAATCGTTTAAATTAAAATGTACCGAGTCATGGGAAATTTAGAATATTGTTTTTGCGAAAATTAATGGACAATGCTAAAAGGCCCTAGCACTTTTCTCTCAAAGAAAACGTGAATAGTAGTGAACGAGTAATGTACATCAGTTTTTTCATTTAATTAATTCGAGCTCAAGCAAATTTAAATTAGTTTCATTACTTTTCTGATAATTAATCTTGTTTTCAGGTATAGGTCCGTTTGAAGAGGAATGTATAGACTTTGTGTCTGTAGTGGATACAAATGGCAATATTCTTTTCAGTACTTGCGAACAAGTGGATCTCCCGCGACAAATAACCACTGCCATGGATAGTGTTGAAATAGTCGTTCAGGCAAAATCAAAAGGCGCCTATCCTAAGAGAGGCGTGTTGTTACATTATAAAAGTAAGCATATTCTACTTATATAAACCTTTGATGAATACATAAATATTTATTTCGGGCAATAACTTCCAAATCGATGTTTCACAACAATATAGATTATTATTATTGACATGACACTGACATCTCGTCTGCTCGTGATCACGGTTGCTGTAAAGAAACCGAAACGTTTTGAGTATGTAGTTATAGTAAAAAAATCGCGTAGTAAATCCGAAAAATATTAGTTTCATTACCATTATTATTTACAATACATCTATTACCATATTATAAGTTTATAGTTTATACCGCAATTTTATATAGGTTTTTAATGATCTGACTCTGACAAAAAATGACGCTTTAATGTCACAAATAATTTTGTTCATATCTCTTCGAAACCAATGTCAGTAGGAGTGTTTAATAGACTAGTTTTATAATCTTTTGTTATACTGCCATCTAGCGTCTGTGTTGTTCAACAGGTATAGGTTGCGTGACGCTGCCACCGCCATCTAACGGTTACTTAGTATACCGCAATGCAGATGTGGCTCACTACATGTGTAATGTGAATTTAGTTTTCGAAGACACGGGACAGAGGGCTCGCGTTATATGGTGCTATGATGATAATAGTTGGAATGATACGATTCCAACATTTTGTATTGGTAAGTGATATTTATTTATATTATATATTTTTTTTATGTAAGCCGGCTATAGGTATACAGATATATGCAATCTTTAAATTTAAGATATGATTAATGATTATAGTAATTAATCATAAGTACGAACTATTTACAAAGTATTGGGCTTCTATTTCTTTAAACAAATAGATACTGTTTTCATGCAAAAAAAAACCATATTCTTTAATAAAGCCAGGCATTGTCTAAAAGGAGATTTTTATTCCTTATGCAAAACATAACTATGAATTATATGAAAGTCTTTTAATATGACGACAATTAAATTGTTAAGACAGTGGTTACTCACTGTCTTATTTGTATCACTTCAAAACCCTTTCAAATGTATGACTACCTCATCTGACTTTATACTGACTCCTAGACCAATGTGCCGTGATATTAACAATAATAAATGAACATACAAATTGTAAGTATATTTTATAAATAACTTGTAAAAAATTCCTGCATAAATATAAACGCAAGATGAGGTTGTAGAGATGTTTGTTGCTATTTCACTTTAAAACTACTTGACAGGTTTTGAGGAAACTTTTGTAACAGAATACGTTATAGGCTATGATTTATTCAGCGTAGTTCCCGCGGGAACACATCATAACAGTTGTATTTTGTATGAAGGTGTCTACGTGTTACAGACTATATTTTGTTGTATGGTGGTTGACATTTCTATTGTTCTAACAGACTATCCATGATTTTCGAGTAAAATTTTAAAGTCCTCAAGTATTACAGTGCACTCAAAACATAATTTTCTATTATAATCTATATTTTAATTACAAATAATTAAATTTTTACAAACCTCTGGTCTAACAAAAAAATGGGAAAATCGAACGAATTACATATTATAATGCCAAAGACATTACTAAAATGTAATGCCATTTAAAAATAACTTTATAATATTAATAAAATAGAAAGATATGAATATTATGTTAAACAGTACGTAATAAGTGTATCATTTATTTATTCAAAGCTTTTCAGAGACTTAGGTTATCTGTCTTCATTACACACTTGATCAGATGTTACAAGCTTCGCACATGCGCAATGGACATTACCTTTCTCTTTCACACCAGACGCATTTCCCTATAAAGAAAGTAACAGCGATATATCTTTCGGTTTCAATGTGATTATTTACACTGTCATAGCAATTGAATTTCGATCTAATGTGTGTGTAATAGAGTTGTATTTCAAATGACATATGAATTACTATTTTGAATGTTGAAGGGCTTCCAGCGGATACACGTTTTAGTAAATACGTTATTTCGAGTTCGGCGTCTGCTGCGTTCGGACTGAATTCCCGGTATTTTTGTCCCTTGACGTAAAAGCACGTGGTCTTAAAGTGAGTTATTTTTTATGGTTCTGATTTTTGTTGTGAATAATTCAATTTGGTGATATATTTTGCTAGTTAAAGGATATTGCTTTAAATCGGTAAGAGGTGAATGATATTAACTATGAAAAAAATTCTGATTTCGTTAATATTTTTTGTAGGTATATGGAATGCAATTTTAAGATGAGCTCTATAAAATGACTTATTTATTATCAACATTAAACAAAACAAAAACAAAAACAGCGGAAACATAATAATTTATGATATTATTTTACAATAAATCCGTTCATTTAAATAAATGTATAAATACAAGTTCATATTTGTGAACAATCGGTAGGCGGAAAAATATACAATCTATTTAAATATACTAAAAATAAAAACAAGAGTAATACTTGAAATTCCTAACATAAATATGAAAGTCCATATTTATATTTTTTTATAATATAACAATTGGCAATAATAACTTTCAGTAATAAAATGAATTAGCTCCTCTGTTCAATACATTATTCGTCTTTTTTAAAAAAAATATTGTAAACTTCTCACTCAGTACTTTAATGACTTAACAGGATTTGTATCTGAAGCATTCGAATTATTATTTCAGAATTGGAAAAGCAATGTAGAGATTGTTCTAAAAAGTTCACTAATATAGGATTTTATTATTGTTTCATTTAAATCCGTTATGGAATATTTATTACTTTTATTATTAATCAATTATAACCCATTAGTGAAAGTAATGGCGGATTAAGTTTGGGTACAATTTCAGACATGTTCTTTTACGATTACTCAAAGTTATTTACACACCCAAATTAACTATTTCAATGTTACTAACTAAAACTTCTATAAATATTCTAAAAATAATGAGACGTTATTACATTGTGACCGGATTTAATATTATCATTATTTATATCATTTATCTGTAATTTATCGGAATTGTGTTGGCACCAATAAAATTATTATTATTTTTCGATAACGATTACAACAAAATTAGTGTGTTTTAATACAAATACGTAGTTTATTAATAGAGAATTGAGATAACTTTTCAATTCAATTATATACTATTATAAAAGCTACTTATTCTCGTGTAGTTTTTGTCTATGATTACGACTGCGTGGACTTCGAAATTTGGCTTTCAGAGAAATTTACAAATAGTGTTCAAATAACCAATACAGTAACCAAATCTTAGTGTCATCGTTAGTCTTTAAAACGTGACTTTATAATAAATACAATTGTTATGACATGATCCCTTGAAAATTTGAAAAAAGTATTCTGTATCCCATTTTGATAGCTAAGCTACGTTACTGTAGAGTTTGATCAAAATCCGTTAAGTAGTTATATTTTAACGAGCAACAAACAAATGTGACCTTTAATTTTCTTTATAATAAGTAGTAGGATTTATATGTACCGAGTCCCGGTTATGGAAATATTTGTTTAGATGCTTTGAAACTAGTTTAATTAGGTTAAATATTTATTTTTTGAAGTTAATACCAATGTAAATTGAAATACCAAATCTCGTTAAAGTTTTCAAAGAGCGTTGAAGATTTCTTCACAATCTTAATAAGAAGTATTTAATTAATCCTTATCGATTGGTTTTGCTCTAAATAATTTTATCGTTTCACTAAAAAGTTGCGTATTTTAAAAATATTATCACACAATATCGAACTAATCTAGTGATTTTAAAGTATATTAATTTTATTTTATTTTCGTCTCAAATATTTTTAAACTTATATGAATAAATATATATTATAAAACTTAGTTTTTAAATATTTATGAATATTTAGTTTACGGTAAAGCTTTAATACGGTTACTTAAACTTTAGTCGCTTTTACGAGATTAAGCGAAGTAATTATAAACTCATAGTTAAAAGTTAATTGTTTTGTTAGTTATATTAAAATATAAAATTTAAAATATATTCTCTTCTCATATGCTCGAAAAAACACAGTGCTTTAAATATTGTGCAATGAAAAATTTTTTTTAAAACAATAGTTAGATACATTTTTCTTTCAAATATTCTTCAAAAGTATATATTAACTTCAATTAAAAATGGAAGGATAAGTTAATTACTGATTTCCTCCATTCCCTTTCATATAGAATTGAATTACAAATTAAATGGACCTCATAATGTACATACATTTACCACTCAGAGTGCTTACTAAATATTTTACGAGCACAACATTACCTCAAAGGTACACCCTTGACACGAGTGAGTATCGTCAAAAATTCATTCATAAATCTTCTCCTACGATAGTATTAACGAAGTTACACGAACGGAAAACAGGATAATATAAGTATTAATATAAAAATGGTCCACTATTTTCTTTGTTCAGAACTATGGAAGAGAAGAAATTAAAAAAGTTTGTCCATAATTTGAAAATCACCGATGATATAGACTTTTTTATCTATGGCTTCATTCCCACTGAATTTTTGGAATATTATGCCAATAAGAACCTTTCCTATAGTAAATATTATTGTTGTATTTGACGTTGAAATTTACATCTGTCATTTATTTGACAGCTCTGTCTCAAATGACAGATTGAGGGCTACAGATAATTAAAATATTAATATTTAAGGCACAACCGTTCGTCTTGTCAGTTTAAATCATTTATGAAAGCATTGAAATATTTTTTTGTATGTATATATTTTGCATGTCTTATATTAACCCTTATAATTATATGACATTCACAGAACCCTTGCACACGACACGCAATTAGTGCAAGTGTTCTTCGTTATGCGAAACACTTTGAGCGTGGAATGTACTTCTTAGTTTTTTGACATTTCAGTCTGTCTGCACTGATTTAAATTAAAACAATTCTATTAGATTATTTAATTATTAATATTTTTTTACATTATATTTCAAGATTCTACTGTGTTTATTTTTAATATTATTTTTTTCTTTATTAAACCATCCCAAGCCTCATACGGCAGACATTTCGTTACATATATTTATAGGAATCTATTCATATGTCAAATTGAAATTTCTTACTTATAAGAATGTTTATTAAAGCGTTATATTAAAGGCAAAGTTATAGAATATCTATAAATAGAGTTTTAGTGAGTCATTGGCCGTGGTACGAACTGTTACTGATATGAGATTGAAAGTTCAAAGCAAATATTTCTTAATTTTGATTTATTCAGGTAACTTCAATATTGATATACAAAATTGATATTTAATTCAACTTATTTAGGTCGAAATTTGTAAGGGTAATGTTATATATTATATATTACATTACATATATGTATAAATGAGAAATATGTCTCATGGATATTGTTTTCTCTCAGTGAAATTTGTAGTAATAAATTTGCCTGATAGAAAAGTTACGTCTTGATAAGTCATGCAAAAAAATATAAAACAACTTAATCAAAGAGTTTTACTATTGTTCAAAATATACTTTTCGTGTGATATAACATGATTAATTAAAACTTTAGGGATATATGATATTTATTTAAATGAATCTATGTAATAAACAAGCCAACGAGTTTCAAAGATACAAAAGCTTAAGATTAGATTATAAAGGGGATAGGAGTTAATTTACAAGTTTCAAAGTCCCTGGGGTCAGTTTAATAAGTTGTGGAAAGCTATGTGAGTGTTGGGGGCAGCTTACTTGAATAATAAATAAGACTCAAGACCAGCGTCATATGACCAAGCAAAGGTTATTAATAAAACATTAACCGTATGAAAGAACGGTATTACAGGTTAAAATAATTTTCATTTAAACATAAAATTACTCTCTTTAGGCTATCTCTTAAAAGCTTTTCTTTAGTGAAAAATTACTTTATCTCAAAGGATCCAGTGAAAATAATTAATCTCTTAAATGCCCTCAGTGTTGGGAAGTACAAAAGATTTCCGATTTGTAAAGACTAGAAAAAAATATATATTTTTTCGTAATTTCATTCACCAAGCCCACAGAGTTGAAGAATTTTAACGAGTTATGTTGAAAATAATGGCTATTTACTTGTAAATCCGTACAAAGAATAACTTACTTATTTTTTTTAATACTCATAATAATTCGTTACGGTACTTCAATTTGTACTTTATATTGAGGAATTTGGATTTTCTTTTAACTAGCCCGAATGCTTAGAACATTTCTCGAAGATTTTTTTAAATGAAAATAGAACATATATGTAAAGTCGCATATACATGTATGTATAAATTATGCATACACATATAATACATGTATACAAAAGTGTATGTACGTTCTTTGTGAATAGGTTATGTAATAACTAAATCTATGAACCCTTTCGACGGGACCTCGTTAATTTGAGTTACAAGCCACCTGGGAGGGTTAAATGGTATAGATAAAACTATCCCGAACTTCATATATCAAACCTTAAACAATAAATCGGGTTCAAAATTTGAACAAAATATTCGTATCTTAGACTAAAAATGGTATGAGAAATGTTTAAAAATTATAATACACCAGATTTTGCAAGGGTTTTTGTTTGTAAATTTTGGTAGTATCAGTAAAATCTAAATGTTTTGGAGTTTTTCTTGTAAAACTTTAAACTAAAGCAACGCATGCGGAGCTCTGAAAAACAATGTTTTTTTTTTGTTTTCACCACGTTTGTCAGTAACGCTCTATTCCATTGAACAAATATAAATAAAGCACGAAAATGTTCATCAATAAATGGAGTATACAGTAGAGTTTTTTCTGGTAAAAAAACAGTTTCTGAGATTAACTTTTTCAACCATACAAACAAAAAATAAATTTTTAAACTGTATAGCATTAGTATAGCAGTAAGCAATGGTTTATTATACTATATTTATTTATAACCTTGTTACGAACAGTGCTAAATGTATTTTATTCAAAGATAAAACAGTTTGCATTTATAATTTATTCTGGTTTTCCTTGTATTTACTATTTATATACAAACAAATCGTATATATAAAAATATGAGGTATTGGTGTGCTATAATTATTTAATATATTTACGTATATAATAATATTCATTGGTGAACAATATCGCATCACAATGTAATATTATTCTTAGTCGATTGATTTTTGCCACAATTCCCCTTTGTCCAACACTGAATTGAAGGCGGTCTGTCCCGAGAGTTCATAGCAATTTTATATTGCTCAAGCGACATTATTTATTGGTTATAAGAATAATAGTTTCAATTAATTTTTATACATCCATATAGTAATTTCCCAGGAGTATACACTGTAATTTTTTCTAAGAACTACATTCAATACTATTTTCTTTCCACACCGGTTTTATTCAACCTTTTTCATTTGGATGTCAGCTGTATATTTGATGACTGAAATTTTGTTTAAATATTATGTGTTATCTGTGACAGAAGCTGTAACTGATAACAGAATGACTGATAAAATGTGTGTTGTTATTAAATAAACTGTTTGTTTTGTAGACGAGGCGACGTTGAGGGTCGCTGGGGATAATTCATCTGGAGGTACTGATAAAGACACAAAACTGCCGCACAACGAGGCCAACATGATAGTAGGTTAGTATCACATTATAGAAGCATATTGACACGATCATACATAGTCAACTACATCCTTGCTCACAATATCATTTTAAACATTTTATGAAAAAATTCTCTATAAGGAAATGTTTGTACCAATTTTATCATAATTTATTTCTTTTTTATTTTCTCATCTCTGTTCCACTGATACTTTAATTGAAATCACAATTGATAATTCAAATCATACCGAAGATCTGAAATCCTAAGAAAACTTTTCCAGTTAAATGTAAATACGCCGGTTGAATTTGGATATAATTTCCAGGCGTAGAATTTTCTCGAATAATTTATCTGAAGTGATACTGAGAGAATATTTTTCTTTTCCTTTAATGTTATTTATTATGACCATTTTACCAGTTCATTGGCTTCTAGTTGGTTCCTCGAAATCGTGGGTGTTTATGGTAATTTAGACGAAATGAGAAAGAGTTGAAGTTCTTAATGTAAACGTTTGAGGATTTATTGCCAAGTTTGTGAATAGCGGATTCAAGAGCTAATAGAGACATTTGGGAACTTTTGTAATTAAATATATACTAGTAAAGTAATTCTAAATTGCGTCTAATGGTATATTGTTAGAATTTTTCAATGCATTTTAATGATTTCAGCAGTTTAAGTATTGATGCAATTAATACTTGATTTAAGATCTACGAAACCTTAACATTATTTATTTTATCACAAAAGTGGTGATACAATTAACCAATTTACTTTAATAGTATAAGTGTTACAAACACAAGTTGCAAGTGCGTTCAATGAAGAATTTGCTTGCAATTTGGCTTTAATTCAATTGAATAAAAAGATTAATTGTATGGATCTTTCTGTCACGACAATTGCATTAACCTTAATTAACTATATAAAAGTAACTACAAAGTACAAGTAAGTTACAATTTTTATTCGCTTAATAACTTAAACAGTTTGCTACGAAGAATTACGACGATACACATAGCAATTATTTCCACTTATTTAGAATGTCTGAAATGCTTTTGACTTTGAATATAACTGTTGTAAGAAACTTTGTGAATTTAACTGTTGATTAATTCATAGCAAATAACTTGATTGAAAGTTTAAATGAAGCGGTATAGAATATTGATTATATTATAATAAACGATGTAGTTTCCTTTGACAATTAAGAAATTATTCTCAACAATTCCACCTCATGTGATAGTTGGAATTTCTGACGAATATTTGGTTTAAGTGTCGCTTTTAATATGTATGGAAATATTTTTATATGCATATATTGTTCCAGATATTGTGATTCCGTCGCTACTGATAGCGGCCTTGTTCATAGGAAACGCTTTCATCGTTCTCATTATATACAAGTACAGGAAACGGTATGTACATTGTTGCTTACATCGAGTTAAATTGCTCTGTTAATGCTTCAATTCTAAACAGTAGTTGTAAAATATTTATTCCATTTCATTGCAATGTCTTCGGTATTTAGATCATGGCTTTATGATTTTTTTTTATCAAACTACCTTAAATTCCTTTGATACGCAAATAATGCAATTTTCTGGTCACTTACCAAATCGATTTCACGTTGATTAGATTACCAATTCGTTCGCGTCTGAAATATAATTTGAATGCTAATTGGATTGAAATATGATTATTATTGTACAATGAATTATTTCTCATTTAATTATGTTTAAATAAACTGTAATGAAAATTAGGTTTGTTCATAATAAGTATGATTCATTACTTTTTGAATAAAAAATTCGTCGTACAAAAATTACAGCAAATTTATAATAATTCATGCATATTTCGTAAAATGACTATGATAATATTGGCTATAAAATCTGTTCTCATGTACCACGGAGGTAAACGCTTCCATTAGCGTTGATTACTATCTGTCGCTTTTCCCATACTATAGACAATCTCTAAAATTTGGTAGCTGTTAGCTCATGTCCATACACGCTGTCAGGTTAATGAGAAATACACATACAAAGGAACGTCTCATTAAAGCAAATTAGCTTCATACGAAACGAATGTTATCCGAATACAAACCTAACCTAGGCAACTCGTTCCGTAAATCTACGTCAGATGTTCTTTCCTTCGTGTTTACCGACTAATTGACTTTGTTTAGCCAATTTCCTGAGGATCGTTTGTGACCGCTTGCGACTTAACAAAGTGAATACTCTGAAGGTTTTATTGTATGTAACGTGTAGCTTTAGCTAGTTGGAAATTAGAGTACATCTACTCGTAGTAGAACAAAGCCAGAATTTCACGTAACTTAAAGTTTGAGACTTAAGAGATCAACTGCATAGGACGTCATAGTTCGTGTAACTTAATACTAGAGATGGATTGTTTTAAAGTTTAACTTTGTGATGTTGATATTAAATCTATTGTTACTAGTTAAAGCTTGTTCTTTTAAATTATTTTTAACAAAACACATTACAAAGCCTAAATCTATTGTAGCTCACGTTTGGCTCACATTTTGGTGGTAGTAGTGATTAATTTGTGTAAATTTGTTGCTAGTTTTTTTTTTGCTATTTAACATCAAAATTTCATTTATTATATAAATTATATTACAGGAAAAATGATGATTTAGAAGACGAGTTCAACACAATACCACTCAGCGCGAACGGTCTTCATAATGCAGGGAATGCCGTTTAAGATTTGATTTCAAGATTACACACTAGATACATCTTTATTACGATTGTTATTAAAGTTTGGTAAACTGAGATTAACTCTTATTTATTTTAATAATAAGGTTTAATTTGATGAAGAAGCTTTATTTATTGTATTTGTTTTTTAGTCATACCATCCAAGAAACTGTAGTAAATTGTTGTATAAATACAGAACAAGCTTCGAATTTAAGTAGAGATTTCGATGTGATTTTCGTTTTGCGGTTTCAGCTTGTTACGAACGGGCTACACCAAAAACAACATCTGAACTTTGTAAATAAACAATTACTGTTTAATTTAAACAGTGAGTATTGCTTATAATTTATTATTTTCAGTATTTTTATTAATATTTGTGTGTTCAATGATATACCAAAGATTTTTCAGCAACAACGAGACTAGTTTATTATTAACTAGTGTGTAATCTTTAAGTATTTTTTATTTTATTTTATTCTAAGGCAATGGCCTAAATGATACCAATAGTGTCTAATCTTATTAAGTAACGATCAGTGATAGAATGACAATTTCAAATTCACTAATAATTTCAATTTCATCCAAAGTCCTAATAATACTTGGATGTATTCGGTGTATTTTTCATTTTAGGTGTATAAATTAATTACGTGTTAAAATGAACATTTTAAACAATAATGAAAGTCATTCGGTAATTATTTATTTCTTATTAAACGCTTTTTATTTTGCGTATAACTATAGTTGTATGGATGCTTGATGAAACAAACGAAAATGTAGACTTACAATCTTTGTTATGTATCGACAAAACTCTTGTACGTAGATATCTTCTAGTTGTAAGTAAGGACTGATAGTTACAATCGACGCTGTTTCTTATTTAGTCCGCACATTTTTTCACTGCATTTATTTTCATTAAGATCAATAATTTTAGCTTGAGATAATTTCATCCAAAAAATTGTTGAAGTTTTTGTATTTGGCGAAGTCTGTATAGATTTAAATAAAAGCACTATCTTTAAATTTTATTGTTTTATTTAGACATTTTTTCCCCAATTTTTGTTGTATATAGCTTTGTATGAAGATTTTCTGTTGAGTTGGGTAAGCCATATGTTTTATCTATTTTTAATATAATAGTCGAAAAAGGTAAGTTTTTTTTGATACCAATGTTTATATGTACATAAGAAAGAAAACCAGTTACGGTCGCCATGCAATCGATTTCATGGTTGACGAAATCGATTAAATATTTTTATGAAACAACAATCGGAACGGTTTACGATGCGCCGTGATGATGAAATTTATCGATGGAAATAAATTAAGAATTTATCGATAAAAAATATTAGTAAAGCTAAAATATGGCTAAAAGACGAAAAATCGTAAAAAATTACAATGTAAGGGGATAAACGGATAAAATTTTAAGAGGTCATTATTTGAATTTTTTATTCATACATGCAGTTTCAAAATAATAAGTGGTCTTTTATTGTTATACCTATATTAGTACTATATATTTATTAACTTTGACTAATTAATTAAGTTTAATTTAATTTAGTACATCATTATTTAATTTAGTACATCATTAAAATATTTTTATACTTTTGTCTTCTACATATATTTATTTATAATTCCTTTTTATATCTCTGTATCCAATTCCATAGTTTTGTGCGGCTTCGCCCTTTTTGTAGGTTGATAGTGTCGTTAACATTGATCTATGACGCGCTTCTCCGGCTTCAAAACACGCGATGCTTTGAACGAATATGTCATGTATAAATGTATTTTATAGTCTTAATATAATTGAGTTCTATATCATCATTGGCTCTATATTATATTAGGACGGTTTATTTTTTATAATTTACAAATCAATACATACGTATTTTTCCTATATTATTGATAAAATGGAGATGTTTTTTTAAACAATTAGTAAGTTCATGGCATCATTACTATATGGAGATGTAGATTTATATGTATATTAAACGCATTATGAAAACGGTAACAGTTGTCTAATATATCTATGTATATAAAAAGAATTCAAAACGATTTTGTGTTCCTTCTCACAGTATTAAAATAAAATACAATTATTTGTTACTGAAACGATTTTGTTCCTTTTGTTTGAGAAATAATCCCACGTTCCACAGCTTTAGCAGGTCGTTGTTAAAAATGTGTTGGTTGTTTTTCTCTTGAGAATTGAAAAACGTTTTAATCCAAGATTTCGAGAACCTATCTATATTGATTTTTATATCATTTGTCATTTGCAAAAATTCAAGTGACAGGCTTTTTTTAGGAGTAAAACAATTATTATTATTGTTGTAAAATAATTATAATGTTGATGAAATAAAAATTATTATTTACGATTTATATTTAATGAATTAATAAAAAAGTATTTGAAAGTGTTCGGCCAATGTTTTTTTTATTGATTACTAGTTTTTGCTCCCGACTTCGTCCGCGTCAGTTTTGGAATAAGTTATATGTGTATAGTTGACCGGGCGAACTCAATTCTGCCCTAGAAAACAATCAATAACTTAATATTGGAATTTATTTCTTTTTCGATCAAACAGGTTGAAATATCTAATGTCCGTCTCCTGGTTCTAAGCTATCGTGCCGCCAATTTTCAACTATATCCCTATAGACGTTCTTGAGTTATAAATAGTGTAACTAACACGACTTTCTTTTATATATATAGATATAAAAGCATCATGTTAAAGATGATACGTGTTTTATTCACTGACAGCGCCATGACTTACTTGACGTTTGTCAGGAAGTTGTTCCATTAGCGTTGATTAGTTGATTATCGTTTGCTGTCATGGATAACACGTAGTGACTCAGGTTAGTATGAAAGATTCTATCTTATGTATAGCATTGAACCCTTCTCTATTTGACAGTTAAACTATGACTTACGACGTTATTTATATGCCAAAATTTAAAATTTACCTTGATTATTGCATTTAATAAATTTTTCGGTGACTATATTAATATTATGGCTATCCATGAGATGAGTCTTTTTTTGTTATTTAGAATTTGTATGTTTTTATCATTTGTTTGTGTTTTTGGTATCTCATTAAGCGATAAAGGTATATTTGGAAACTATCACGTTATTATATTTTTTTGTATTGATTCCTTGCAGTGCATAATTCTTTTGATATAGTTGCAGTAAATAATATTAAACTATAGAATAAGCTAAGCATATGAAAGCCTCAATTTAAATTTAGATAAGCAAAAGTTCTAGTATTTTTAATATGAAAGTTTGAAAATTATGTATTCAAGTTCATTTTCTCTTTTCTGTTAATGAAATCATTCATAAGTCATTCATTTCTTTGCCAACGTCGTGTTTAGATTTCAGTGAACTTATGCAAATTTGGGAAAAGTGGAAACGAGTTTGAGTTCTTGATTGCAGTTTTGAGTGTTGTTACCAAAATTTCAAAATTAATATTTCAGAGGATTTAGTTGCTAATTGAGATGCAAAGTTTAATCATCAAGCATAGAAACGCTTTCTGTTTTAGACTTTTATTACTCTTCTGACGTGATTGAGAAAATTTGTGAATAAGGTTCTTCCACATTATATTGAAGCAATGTGAGTTCATATTAAAAAATATTCTTATATATTTTTGTTCATGACTGTCCTAACTAAACACAAAATGTACGAGATTTGATTATTTGAGAGCACAGGTATTATAGAAAATATTTATGACAAAGGTTTACATACATTCTTGGGACCATTATTAAAAAAATTATATGACCTATGATAAACGTATGTTTTCAAGTTTTCGCAATTTTTTCTTAAATGCGAGACATTCTGAAGCAGAATAATAAAAAAAAAAAAATATTGTGGTCAGTGAAAACAGTTTATATAAAAAAAATTGATTTTTTGCGACATCATAGTCAAATCAGGTTTTTAGTGTTTTTACTTTAATTTGCTCTTCGGCTATAGTGTTTTCGTGTTTTTAATATGTATTCTGATAAAGAAAATGTTTTTCTTTATCAGAACCTTACTCGTTGGTCCAATAGTATATTAAAATATAGGTACTTATCGTTTTAAAAATATCGATAAAGTTCGAAGGATTCCACTTTTTGTGATTCTTTAAGTTTATCAATATTTAAAACAAAATTTTATCTTTACAGACTGAAAGAAACATCTTTATTTTTTTTAAGACCTAACCTAAAATATCAATGATCAATGTTATGATTGAAGTTTCATATAGGCCAACTTTTATACACTTATTTAAACACTAACGCCTATTATTGATAATAGAACAAACTCTTTCTAAATACTTTATTGCTATTATTACTTAAGGATTATTTTATGGAATCAGATTTATTGTGGCGTTTAGAGCAACTCTTACCCCTTAGAACTGCTCATAAATTTCAATCCCATGGATTATGATCACGAGTTAAAGACGGTCAGACCTGAAGTTCGCATTTTACGAACTTACGTTTCTAATCAAGATTATGTGGAACAAGCTTTATGATTCGACCTCTCTTTGTGTGGGAGGATTAAAAATGTTTGGTCTTTCTTACTGTCACTAAGATATATATTTGATCACTTTTATCTTAATAACAACATAATTTTAGTAACCGATAGTTGTACGTATATGTACACAAATCTTTATTTTTTTTACGATTTAAGAAGTAGAACCACTCTGAACACCTTGGACTATGCTTGAAGGATTGTGTGAATTTAACGTTAGTTGGCTGCAGGACTGATGTATGAATTGAAATAACTGTACAGTTATTATTGGAGTTCATTACTATATGAGTGTTAATTTAATTAAATTAAAATTAAAGATTTTATCAATATTAAAAAACGAAACATGATAATCTAAAAATATTAACACCTTAGGGCTTATACCTATATACTTAAGAGTTTATATTTAATTGCAAGTAATTCTTATAATTTAAAAATATATTTTTTAAAACGTTTATGAAATATTTACAGTTTATATAAGATATTGGTTGTTACATTGCTTTATGAAAACAATATATGTACATATATATTGGGTTCTATTATTTTGTTTAAATTGTTGATGTTAAATGACATTG